CCATCCCCAACCAGAATTGGCTCATGCGGGATTCGATCCGCACAGCCGTCTCGCTTCGCGGCGAGAAGCAACATGACTCGCACTATCGTGCGGGAGAGGCCATGCCTCGTGACACAATTTTTTGTGCCAGGCACGAGATCAATCTCATGTCGTACGTCTCGAAACGGTAGGAGTTGGGGTCGGTGGGTGTTTGTTCACCACGTCCGCATACTCCGTCACCAAAGGGTACACCGGATCATTGGGGTTCTTAAGGATCTCAGAACCCAAGCGCGTCTGACGCTGCTTGTTTAGGTCTACCAATACGTTCTCGTCCAAGACAGAGGAGGAGTTCAGCTCCTCCCGAGTGGTCTCAGGTCTCATGAGCACCATCTCGGCAATCGCTCCAGCCTTGAGGGTGGCCAGGAAAGACCCGACCGTCATCTCCTCGAAGTTCAGTATCTCTGCAACCTCTGACAACGGTTCCAAGTGGACACCAGATGCCTTGACGGGTAAACCGGTCTCGCCATCGAAGATGTGATAACACTCTTCCACCGGCCTTGTCGGAGGAGCCCGGGCCCTGGACTCCGAGTCGCTTGAAGCAACGTCGATCTAAACGAAGTTCAGATTCGACTTGTGGCGGCGGCGTCGTCGTCGTCGTCAACGGCGACCGTGACGTGGAGCTTTGTTACCCACATCTGGGGATGTCGGAGCACCGACATCCAGGGCACTCGTGGCCTCGTGTGGTACTGTGGTGCCCACACAGAAAGCGTGTTCGACACCTTCCTCTTCAGTTAAGGTCTGGGCGACCGTGTGTGGAACTCTGGTACCCACCTTGAACACGCTATTGTCAGTGTTCGTGACAGCTGCAGCTGTCTGCGGAGCTAAGTTACCCGCTTGTGGACCTAAGTTACCCACTTGGCCAGCGCCTCCTCTGGGCCCTGCCACCATCAACGCATCCTCAGAGTCGTCATATACGTCTACGACTCCCAAGCATCTGCTGTGTGCTTTGGTACCCTGGCAACCCTTGCGGGCGCCCCGGGGCCTGGCAGATGTGGGAACATGACTCACCAATGCTCTGTCGGACTTCGCAGGGCGGCTGGCACCGATTGCCTTGCCTCGCCAGTCGATCCAGGGCTCGTGCTTCTCAAGCCAGGGCATGCCCAGGATCATATCATATGGATCCATATCGAGAACAGTGAACTGTTCGAGGCTGTCAAAGTCTTCAAACTTGACAGCCAGATCCACTTGGACGTTGGGGACAGTGACGACCTTCCCGTCGGCCAGTCGCACTGACACCGTCCCGTTGCCCTTGCTTTCTCGCAAAGCTTCGGACAACTTGTTGCTGTTACGAGCAACCGTCTGGCGGCGTGCGAAATTCTTCGACGCCCCAGAGTCAATCAATATTCTAAAGGGGTGATCGTACCCCCGTACACATCCGTGTACTACGAGCAACCCGCCGCTGCTCTTCGCCGATTCGAGAGTGCGAAGACTCTCAGGGGCTAAGTCCCCGTGGTACGCGCCACCCGCGCACCCATCACGAAGACTTAGTTCTTCCCCAGTAGGGCGCCCCGCCCCTACTGGTTCCCTGCGTTCCCCTGTCCCCGGGATCCTGGCTTCTGCCAGCGACCCTTGAGGACGGGCTTGGGGAAGGACCATCTGCGGAGTCTTTCCGCGGGACAGTCGCGCTTGAAGTGGCCCATCTTCCCACAGCCGAAGCAGCGGATGTCACGCTGTTCGGCGGACCCGAGTTCCATGGGAACTGGTCCGTTGGGGCTTGTTCGACCGGGAGCCGACAAGAACCTCCCAGGCCACGCTGAGGCCGGCGTACGCGCCTGGCGATGGCTGTATTCTTCTTGAAGAGCCACTTGAATCGCCTCTTCAAGGGTGCTTGCCTGCACCCGGAACAGCTGAGTGCGTGCGGGGCCCACTCGAAGGCCGTCCATGAACACAGTCATCTTGATGTGTTCATTGAGTGGGTTTCCCACTAGGGACGCCGTGAGCTCCCGTATCTCTTGCACATACTCGTGCAGTTCGCGTCTTCCTTGTTTACACGCGAGGAAGCGCGAACGCTGGCGGTACTCGTAGTTCGCTGGGAGGAACGCGGCTCGGAGCTGTTCGCACAGCTGAGCCCAGGATGTGAAACATCCAGGGGATGTCGCTTCCCGAGTGTACACCCAACTCTTAGCACGACCGCTAAGGTTGGAGAGTGCAAAAGCAACAGGCAGTTGCTCGGTCGAGATCAGAGCCGCGTCCA